TCTTTGGGTTCATCTTGTTTGAAACTCTCTGCACTTGCTCGACTTGTATTTCTATTTCCTTCACCAGGTTAGGGAAGTTTTTTGTTATTATTTTTCAAATGGGTTTTCAATACTTGCTCCCTCTCTTCTCCTTCTGGCACCCACATGATGGAAATGTTGGTACACTTAAAAGTTGTCCAGGTTTCCTTATACTATCCTCACATTGGAGGATTCTTTTTTATTTTTGCTGTTCTGTTTTCTGCTTCCCTATCTTCCAAATTGTTGATTTGATCCTCTGCTTCATCTACTGTTGATCCCTGTAATGTATTCTTCATTTGTTATTGTATTCTTCATTTCTGACTGGTTATGTTGTCTATCTCCAGTTATTTTTCCTATCTCTTTGTTGAAGTTCTAAGTTCATCTATTTTCCTAAGTTCACTGAGCATGCTTATAAACCAGTGTTTCAAACCCTGACTCTGCTAGACTGCTTGTCTCCATTTTGTTTAGTTCTTTTTCCGGGGTTTTGTTTTGTTCTTTCATTTGGGACATGTTTCTTTGTCTCATTTTGGTTGTCCTCCTGTGCTTGTTTCTATGTATTAGGTAGAGCTGTTACATCTCCCAGTCTTGGTAGAGTGGCCTTATGTAGTAGGTTGTCCTGAAAGCCCTAGTGGCCCAGCCTCCCTGGTCACCTGATCTGGGTTCTCCAAGTGCACCCCGCTCCACATTGGCGGTGTACACTTACCTGTTCTAGTTGAGCCTTGATGACTACTGGCATATAAATGGGTGGGATTTACCCCCACGCCAATAATCAGCTGCAAGGACTGACTGACACCAGGTCAGAGAATCTGCTGTGCAGAGGGGGACCCCACCAAGCAGGACTTGATTTAGCAGGGCTCTGGTGCCTGCTGAGTCTGCCCCTTGACTGTGTCGCTTTGCAGGTGTTTAGGTGGTACTTCAGCATGGTCTGAAGCTGTCTATTGGTGCGCTGGGTCTGGGGCCTCCTAGGAGGTGCAGGCCAAGGTCAGTCATTGCCTGTGGCCTGCATGGGGCAACCCAGAATGAGTTACAAAGCAATCTGCAGGTGGCTGCTACTTGTGTTGGGCTTGAAAGTGCCTGGGATAGGCTAAGCTGTGAACCAAAGCCAGCTGCTGCAAGTACAAGGCTGGGACCACTTAGCAAGAGGCAGAGGGCACAGTGTTAGCCTAGCTAATGAAGACTCAAATATGGTGCCCACCTGCAGGATCTACGGGGTGAGGGCCTAGCAAAGAACCAATGGCCTCTGCCAGCATCTATGGCTGGGAGAAAGCTGCCTCTCTAGCCCTTGCCCTGATCTTAGACAACTCAGTTCCTCCCTGTATATGTCTCTGGCACCTTCTGAGCTGCTGTCCCAGTGTTGGAGCTCAGGGCAACTTAATCCAAGTAAGTATGTGCATGGGTCCTTTAAGAGGAACACCTGGGATTTCAGCAGTCCTCTATCTCACTCTGCCACAATTCCTGCTTGTTTTCACAACCAGAAGTTATCTTCCCAGCACTGGAACTCTGGACTTGGGGGCAGTGAGGAGGGGGAGGCTGGTGTGGGGCCAGGACCCCTCACTCCACAAGGGGGGGAACCTCCACAGATGAGATAACCCTCTCAATTTTTAACTGCCATATGTGGGTGTGGGACCAACCAGTTCCATCTCCATCCTTCCTACCAGTCTCAACCTGGCTGCTTTTTTATATCCTTATTTGTAGGAGTTGTATTCAACTAGATTTCAAGTGGTTCCGAATGATGGTTACTCTGTAGTTTAGTTGTAATTTTGATGTGGTTGTGAGAGGATGTGAGTACCACATTTACCTTCTCTGCCATCTTGACCAGAAGTTTGATCTAGTTTTCTTTATATGCCTTTGTCTGGTTTTGGTATCAAGGTAATGCCTCATAGAATATGTTGGGAAGTATTTCCTAGAGGCACGTAAACATTTTAACCTCATGTTATCTAACTGCACTGATGATTTGCAAATGAAATATTCTTCCAATGAATATTTACTGAGATATCAATTAGGTACCAACCACTAGGGATTCAATGCTGGTGTGTTTTTTAAATAGACTTTTTAAATTCACATACTCCCTCCCTCTCTCCTCCCTTTCGTCAAATATCAGCTTGTTGTCTATATCTATTGTGTTATCTATATACTACATCTTCTTTATCCACTCATTTATTGACAGACATCTAGGTTGCTTCCATATCTTGGTTATTACTAGTAATGCTGCAATTACACAGGGGTGTATACATATCTTTTCAAATTAGCACTTTTGTATTCTTTGGATAAATACCCAGAAGTGGTATTAGATTGTAGAGCAGCTCTATTTTTTATTTTTGAGAAATCTCCACAGTTTTCCATAGTAGCTGCATTAATTTATAATCCCACCAAAAATGTATGAGGGTTCCCTTTTCTCCACATCATCAGCAATTATTTGTTGATTTAATGATAGCCATTCTGAGAGGTATGAGATGATACCTCACTGTGGTTTTAATGTCCACTTCCCTGATTAGTGATACTGAGCATCTTTTCATATGTCTGTTGGCCATCAGTATGTCCTCTTTGGAAAAATGTCTATTAAAGTCTCCTATTTTTTAATTGGGTTCTTTAGGGGGTTTTTTGGTGTCAAGTTGTGTAGTGTAAGTTCCTTATATATTCTGAATATCACCCCTTATCAGATGTATAAGTTGCAAATACATTCTCCCATTCAGTAGGTTGTCTTTCGTTCTGTTGATGGTTCCCTTCACAGTGCAAAAATTTTTTATTTGATGTAGTCCAAAAGTGGGTAAATTTTTGAATGTATTTCAGAATGCGTAAAGCCTCAGAGTGGAAGAAGGATACCAGTAAGCAAGCCTAGATAAACAAAAAGTGAACAATAGGGAGGTGCAAGAGTAAAGAAAAATGGGTGATAAATTCTTTACTTTTTCCCCCAAAGAATATGAGATATCACTGAAGTCACTGCACTTTTCATAGCAATTTATTTAAAAGAGCAGTTATTTTTAAAGGCTGGTTTTATTTATAACCTACATCTCCATTCTATAGGCATTATATCCCATAAGCATCTGAAATAGTGACAACAGACACCTGAAATCTGACTTATCCAAACTAATCATCTTCCCTTTAAGCCTCCTTCCTTCTTGTTGTACAGTCTCCACCTTGGTAATTATTCATACACATACATCATCTCACCCCGTAACACCTCTGGTACCTCTGTCCTCTAATCATTTGCACCTGCAGTTTTGGAACACATCAGTCTCTATTATCATTCCTCCTGCTTTGCTCTACTCACTGCCATCAATACAATTGGCTACCTGACAAATACCTAATCATCTTTCAAGACTCAGCTCAAATACCAACTATTCCATGAAACCTTTTATGGTTACTCTCCTTTGCACCCCTACATCTCTGTCATATATTGCACCCATTAAAATTAATTTCATTTTCCACATGGCTTTCTTACTCTACTCAACTGTAAGCTAATTAAGGGAGGGACCACATCTGATTTACCATCCCATCACCTAGCATAGTGTTTTGTACATATTGGTATTCACTAAAGGTTTGTTCAATAAAAGAGTACATAAATATTCCATCTCAATTGATCCTAGAACAAACCTATGATATAGAAAATGCATTATCCCTGATTTAGACATGAAGGAATGGCTGGTTGTGCTCTGAATATTTGTTGGTTTCCCACGGGAATCATGTTATGATTCACTCCAAACTTAGTCCACCAAAGTTTATCCAACTTATAAAATATAGGCATATACAGTGATTTCTGCTACAATGTGAGTTTTTATAATACTAACTGGAAGTATAATTAATTAGGGAATCTGAATTACATTGTGAAAACTGCTCATGGTCCTAAAGAGATGGCATCACAGGAAGAAAAGCTGTTGCTGGCAGCACAGCTGTTTTGAGTGCTGTTATATATTTATCAAAATAATGAGTAATAAATATAAGGATACAAAGTACTGAGCTAATAATGCTGCTGGTGATAGTAGTAAAGGGTTATTGCTCTTAAAAGCAAACTAAATGGCTGTATTGCTCAGATTTGTTTCTTATATTTTTAATACATTGAAATACATATAGGAAAAATGACTTCGTATGAAGCTAACCCCTGACTCTTCTTTCTCTTCACTGAAACAACTGCCTTTTAAATATAATTTTGGATAGCATGTGGATTCTTAAGAACATACTTACCATGCTAAATTAAATAAGAAATGTACTACAGAATTAGCAGTACCTGTCCCCCCAAAGCCAACAGCATTCCTACCTACACAGTGGCAGCTCTAGCAACAAAAGTCAGGGTCAGGAATGCTGAAATGAGTGTTACAGAAGTAAAGGCATGGGTGGCCACTGCCTGACCAAGGAACTTACAGACGGAAGACAAAAGGAGCACACCACAATACTCTTCCACAGCAATACCCTGAATGTAATAACAAATAAGCTGGAGATGGGAGAAGGTAACAGAAAGACAGATTTAGAAGTCCATCTACCATGAGAACTGATAAAGTATGGGCTAAAAGAAAAACAGCAACCTAGTACAGCATTAATTGTGCTGCAACACCCACCATAGTTTTGGGCCGTAATCAATGGGGTAAAATCAGTATCTAAAAAGCAGCAAGGTTGGTAACCAAATTCAAAACTGAAATGTATGCCTCAAGAAAATAGCTCTATTTCTCCTCAGCAGTAGAAATCACTGTAACAGAGGACGAAATTAGGCCATTAAATCTCGTTAAACTGACTGGAGAATTAGAAGACGGTAGAGGGACAAACAGAAGCCAGCAGGCCAAAGCCCGGGCCAGTATTAGAAGCAGCGTCCAAGCTCAGCCGGGGGCGTGGGGCCGGGAAGGCACGGCGGAAAACAGAAGGGGAAAGGAAGGCAGGCAGAGAAAAGTACTTCCAGGATTTTTACCAATACTTTTAAAAGCATACTTAGCTATTAAGAGTAATGGAATCAAAAAGCATTTCTAAATCGAGTTCCCAAACGTTTTCCTCACCTCTTCTGAAAAAGTTCTTAAACATACAACCTGTAACAGCGCTGAATTCGTAATTTCAGTGACTCGGAATCAGCTTTATCCCGTTCTAAAGAATATTTGCCACCTAGGAGCAGTTGGTTCTCTTTTAAACAGTGCCTATTAAACGACTGTTTTTACTAAGGTGTGAAAATACCCGTCTCAGACACACGCTACAGGAGCGCAGCAGCACACCTCGCACCGCACCCTGCTCCCGCCTGGAACCGTCTCCCAGGGGAACCGGAGCCGCGAGTGTACAGACGGCGGAGTCACCTGCGCGGCCCGTGCTCCGCCAGCGGCTCCGGTGCGCAGGCCCTGCGGGGCCTGACCTGGAGGACAGCGACCGGGCTCCGCGTCAGGCCGGGACTCGGGGCGCGGCCCGGTGTGGCGTTGGGAGCCCGGCGTCGCGCTCACAGAGGGAGGCAAAGTGGAGGCTGTGGCTGCGCGGAGAC